GAAAGAAAAAGAAACGAGAGCTAAGAATATGATTCTCTCTCTCTCTCTCTCTCTCTCTCTCTCTCTCTCTCTCTCTCTCTCTCTGGCTGGCCTGGCTGCAGTCAGAGCCTTACTGTATGAGTTCATCCAGCAGCGTGTGGTTGCAAGGTGTTGGACGGGGAACACACAGGTGCGATCCGCTCCCATCCTCCCCCCAGACCTCCCCCCTGCCGCTGTCCACTTCCCTCTCTTCCCTCCAGCCCAGACTGGCCTCTTTACTAGTCCTCAAATTCAGGTACCCTGAGTAGAGACACTGCCCTTGCCAGCTCTCTGCCCAGTTCCCCTTCTCTCTGTGTGACTGTCGCTCACTTCCCTGGCAGCAAGGACCCAGCCTCCTTCACCTCTCTGCTCATGTGCCACATGTCCCCTTCTCAGCAACCAGCTGACTTCTCTGGCCATCCTGTTTAGAACTGACCTCCCTGTTGCCAACACCACCCATACTCCCAACATCCCTTTCCTACTTTACTCCTCTTTCGTGTAACTTCCTGACATAATGTTTTTCAACCTCCTAACCTATTTTTTTCAGCTTGTTTACATGTGTCAGTCTCTCCACACACACTAGAAATGTGCCTTCCATGAGGATCAGGACTCGCATCTGTTTTGCTAACTGTTATGTCCATGCTATTTCAAGCAGTGCTTGACATGCAATAGATACTCAGTAAATAGGGATGGATGGATGGATGGATGGATGGATGGATGGATGGATGGGTGGACTGCACTGCCATGAGTGTAGAAATGCGTAATGGTAGTACACATGGCAGTGGCTCCTCCCTGTAACCTAGCAGGATGCTGTTTCAGGCAGAGAGGGCATCCTGGAAGAAATGATATCTGAACAATATCAGCCGGGTCCTTACTGCTGGACAATCCTAGTGTCCCCATCAATGGTCCTGCCTATCTCACCCCGCCATGAGCGTGGGAGGCTGAAGGGCAGGCACGGAGCTCCCGCCCCTCTCCAGGCCTCCATCTGTTGCCTGTACTGGGCCAGACACAACCTCAGATCCTCACAGATCTGTGAGCTCAGCCTTAGTCCTCCTCCTTCCTCTATCCTCAGCAACACACTTCTCCAAGGTTGACCCCTGCTGGTGGCCTCATTTAGAGAAAAGGACCTTCACGAGCAGCTCCCAGGACCACTTGGGAGGAGAGGCAAGTGCTGAAGTGTAGAGATGGGCCTCTCAGGAGTCAGCTGCTGCCGCCACACCCACCAAACGCCACCTTGATCCCTGGTACCACTTGCCCCAGAACACAGGGGGCATCATGCTAGTCTGAGCTACGTTTTGGTGGCAGTGGGGTGGTGCACACCTGTAATCTCAGCACTGGGGAGGCTGAGACAGGAGGATCACTAGTCTGAGCTATGTAGGGAGACCCTGTACCAAATAAATAAATAAATATCACAATCAAAATCTGTCAATACACTGCCTGTAAGAAACACATCTCATCTGCAAGGGCATACACAGGCTGAGAATAAAAGGATAGGAAATGATGATCCCGGAGACCAGAAGCAAGCAGGGATACCTATACTTACATTCAACAAGGTAAACTTCAGACCAGAATTGAACAGTAGAGCCAAAAGTAACCTCAGGTTGGTAAAAGGATCAATTCACCAAGAAGAGGTAACAATTTTAGAGGTGCACATAATGAATGCCAGTGCACCTACTTTCATAAAACACTGCTTGACATAAAAAGAGAGATAGCCCCAAACACAGTCATAGTGGAGGACTTCAGCAATCTACTGCAAAAACAGACTTATCAACCAGCCCCCCAAAAACAAATCAACAAGGAAGCATCAGAATTAAACTGCACTCCAGAGCAAATGGATTTCACAGTTGCATACAGAATGTTTCACCTAAGGACAAGTGAAGACGCAATCTTCAAGTAGCCCATGGGACTCTCTCCAAAATAGACCACATTTTATAGAATAAAGCAAGTCTCCATAAATACAAAACAGCTGAAGGAATTTCCTGCATCTTGTCAGATCGCAATAGAATGAGACTAGAAATCAGAAGCAAAGTAAACAGTCAGACACGGCAGCTCATGCTTGTAATCCCAGCACTCAGGAGGCTGAGACAGGAAGGTTGCCACCAAGTTCAAGGCCAGCCTGGGCTACGTAGTGAGACCCTATCTCAAAAAAAGCAAAACAATCAGTGAGTCACTGAAGGAATCAAGGAAGAATCTTTTTAATTCCTAAAATAAAACAATAATGGAACACTATGTATCAGAATCTGTGGAACACAATGAAAAGAATGTCAAGACAGAAATTTTTAGCTATGAGTAGCTACATTAGAAAAACAGAGCAATCTCAAATAAATTACCTAATGATTCATCTCAAGGTCCTAGAAAAACAAAAACACTCCTAAAATGAGTGGAAGGAAGGTAATAATAAATATCTGACAATAGCTTAATGAAAGTGAAACTTTAAAAATTACAAATTATTGAAAGCCGTCCGCCTCCGCCTCATGGCTGCGGGTTCCTCCGAGGGCCCCCCGCCGAAGGTGGCCTCTGAAGGTCTAGCGGTAGGGCCGGCCGGCGTCCTGCCTTGCCTCGAGCTGCCGAGCTACGCTGCTGCCTGTGCGCTGGTGAGCAGCCGCTACTCGTGCGTGCCTTGTGGCGGGGCCGCACCGCAGGCACATCGCCCTGTCGCCCCGCTACCTCAACAGGAAACGCACCGGCATCCGGGAGCAGCTGGACGCCGAGCTCCTTCGCTACTCCGAGAGCCTTTTAGGTGTCCCTATCGCATATGACAATATCAGAGTTGTGGGTGAACTGGGAGACATTTATGATGATCAAGGACACATTCATCTTAACACTGAAGCAGATTTTGTTGTTTTCTGCCCTGAACCAGGGCAAAAGTTTATGGGTATAGTGAATAAAGTATCTTCCAGCCACATTGGCTGTCTTGTACATGGATGCTTTAACGCCTCCATTCCTAAGCCTGAGCAGATGTCTGCTGAGCAGTGGCACACCGTGGAGATAAACGTGGGTGATGAACTGGAGTTTGAAGTATTTCGTTTAGACTCAGATGCTGCTGGAGTATTTTGCATTCATGGAAAACTAAATATCACTAGCTTACAACCCAAGGGCTTTAAAATTTCTGAAGGAGCAGAAACTGTCACAGAGGGAGCTGTTGAAAAACTTCCAAAGAAGAAAAAGAAAAAGAAGAAAGCTCCAGAAACAGATGAGGTGGATATTAGTGCCACAGAGTTAG